ATTAATATCTTGTTTATGCCTTTCATTTCTTTTCTTTACTTAGTTAACTTTTATCTCATTTATGTTCTTATCCTATTTATTTATGTTTTTCTCTTTCATTATGTTTAACTAAGTTTCTTATGTTAAGGTGAGAATGTTATACTAATGGTGTAAGAATAAATATAGTGTAAACTTAACATGAACTTTAATGTTTGATACTAACATGTTTTATATTTGTTATCTTATTCACTTTTAATACTTTGCTTGTTAAATGGTTAATCTAGATTTGTATTGTATAACACTTGGTACAACAAATACTTAGCACTTTCATAGTCCAACCGTATGGTGTACATGACACTTGTGCTATGAAAGGAACTTGATTTGTTGTTAACATAACTTATAATCATGAAAGCCTGAAATTTTTTATAAGTAAATCTATCCTTTTTGGTTTTAACATTTATAAGTATTAGTATTGTTCGAATAAGATAACTAATGTAATCATGCTAACAATTTATAATCTGATTGAAACAACCTTTGTGTGTGGTTTTCAATTGAATAATAAGAGTTTATACCATATTTGTTTGAAGTACCATTAATAGATCCTCTAATCTTGATATTTGTTGTTATCATTGTTTAATCCTTACATTGATCTTCTACCTCAAGGTTCTCATCAACTTCTTATTCTTCTTCTTCTATTATTATTATTGTTATTGTGGTTGTATTGTTGTTATTTATAATTTATATAATTAACCTCTTTGTGGTTCAACCCTGGTCTTATTGAATTATTTATTACTTTGACACTCCTGCACTTGAGAGAATACATCAATCTTTTAGTCGTGTCAAATATTATTTTTTGCATAAAGAAATAGCTAGAACTCTCTCCGAAGCATAAGCACAAGGCTTATTGTGTTCTATTTGTACTACTCTTGTCATAATTAAATAAGAAAAGGTTAATTTAAAATGCTTTATTCAAATTTTAATTCATCTAGTACTACTAAATCCTAAATTTATATATGGTTTTGAATTATGTTTTTTATTAGTTCGTAACTCGTGTGATGTTATATCTATCCAATCCAAACTTAGTAATTAATAAAAAAAATGTGAATAAGACCAAAAACAATATTATAATTATAATATATTTTACATTTACATTTTTAATTTAGGAGCCCTATAAAATTAAATAACAAAGTTGAGTTGTTCAACCAATCACAAGTAGCATTGGTGCCTACGCCTTTCTTATGTATGTACAAATAGTTAACATGTGTATGTACAAGTAGTTGTGATTGAAGCTCACATCTTCCTTTGGTTTTACATCCAAGAACGATTTAAACGCCCTTTATGGGTCGGGGATAGGCTTCCCATCCAGTTTTCTTAAAAACTAGTAAACATGGTCTTTTTTAGTTAGATTCCCAAGACTATGTCGAACATGTTTTTTTATGGAATTGTGACCATAAATCATAAATTGCACGATGCACATCTCCACTAGGGTGCATCTCAAGAGTAAATAGAAGATTATCTAAAGACTCCTTACTCAGGTCATCCTTAATGAATTGTATTTTATCTTCACGATTTACAGATATCATTCTTAAAAAACAACAGTTTGTATTACAAGTCCATTTAGCACATCTGTGACAAACTTGCAGTCGTTTTGTACGATGTTTCTTTGCAAAAGTGTTTTTATCTGTTCCAAGCATGTATGCAATGAAAGAATTTGAGGACTCACCTGATAATCAGACCTTTGCTTCAATTAGCCAGTGAATATCTTCAGGAATTCCATGGTTCATTAACAATCGCAATCTTGCACATCTAGCACGATAAATTTTTGTAATCGCATTCTGAGACAGAGCAGGAAAAAACTTTTTCAATTTTTCAAGAGTGGTGTCTATTTTCAAATGAGAAGAGATGTAACGAAGGGAGAAAGAGCAAAGAATTGAACAAATATATACACAGATATCAGTTATTAAGGGAAACTGAAAGAACCGACTAAAGTCACAAAGTACCATTATCTGCCATTTAACCGGGGTGGAAAATCTAAAAAGTGTTTTCTGTTAATCAAAAAGTATTTTCTATTGACCGAAAACTGTTTTCTATTAATCAATTTTTTTAATAATAAATAAATATAAAAAATGTTAAAAAATTATTTTTTAAAAAACAAATATAACGTTAATGAATGCATACATCAAACTTTATATAAAACTTTTCATGTCTTTTCCAATGTACGTGTGAAACATTACACACAACTTATGGTGTCCAATCCAACATACCAAACGCATATTAAATTAATACCTTAAATAATGTTGGATTTGATATGGAGTATACGATGGATGGGACATGTATAAGATTGAATCAATGCTTGGTTCATAACAACGAAGACAACCTCCAATTTTGTATGTGTTTTTGAGAAAAAAAATTGTGAATTTCTTGTCCCTTCTATTTAGAACATCTAACAACGAAGGTGAACCTTCAACATGCTTTTTTTCTTTTTTCAAATGGGTCGGCCATGAAACAAGGCCAACGGTTTTTTTAATAAATGTTCTCCTCTATTGAATTTCTTATTTTGATTATTCTACCATTTCATATGAACTTATATGTACAAAATTTATTATATGTTATTTTTTCATTTCAAACTATTATAAATTCTTCAAAAAAATAGTATTTAAAATATAAAAACAAAAATTATGTTTCCGTATTATATTCTAAATTATATATATATATATATATATATATATATCAAGGATGAATATTATATACATATTTTACTTTAAAGTATAATTCTTTTTTAATTGAGTGGAAGAAATTTAATCATTTAAAAATAAGGGTTAATGCATCCATCCATCTTTTTATAAATAAGCAAGTTTTTAAGTTTAACAAAGATTTGTTTTTCATATTATTCAGTCCATTCAAAAACATTTTCCTTTGTTAGAAGGTTACACAACGACTTAGATATAACACTAAAATCTTTGGACTTACCCATTTGCTATCAGAAATAGGATAAATGATTCCATTATCTAGAAGCTTAATGACTTCATTCCTCACTACTTCTTTCATATTAGGATTCAACCTTCGTTACATCTCTTTAGTATCCTTCCCTCTATCGATCAAGTCTGGTTTAATCCCCACCTCATTCTTAAGGTACCTATCTGGGTAGTCGTCGTCATCGTCATCATTATTATACTAGTAGAGTAGAGTAGATCCTACGTGGTTTAATTGCTATTAGTTGTTAATTGGGCAAATCAATCAATTGGGTTTCTCCAATAGATCAGAACGAATCGGTTTTTCCAATAATTTAGAAAGAATCGATTGCTTGATTGATGATGGGCTTTGCTATTAATTTGCTAAAGTCTAGTAGTTTTACTTATCTTATTCTTTGTTAATTTTTGTATACAATTATTAAGTGAAAAAAAACATCTTGTGGTTTAAAGATTTTGTATTTGTAGGTTCTGTCCTAATTGTAGGAAATAACTGATGATGCTTTTGCCTTTTGCTTTTTATTGAGCAGTATAGGGACCTGAAACGCTTCCTGCTCTCACCATTCTATCATGTGAGTGACTCTCATCTCGTTTACAACATGATGTCGCTCTTATGGAAGGGAATTCAATTGGAAACTTCTGTGGGAAGTGTTGAATTTGCATCTATGCTTGCTGCTTTACTTGCTATGTCCCAGGGTATTACACTGTTGCTAGCCAAGTCCCTCCTCCTCTTCTTTGATTATGACAAACCTTTCTACTCTGAATATTCTGCTGGATTTTCTGGTGTTCTATTTGCCATGAAAGTTGTCCTCAATTCTCAGTCCGAGAGTCTTACTAATGTCTATGGATTGGTCATACCGGCACGCCATGCTGCATGGGCAGAGTTGATTCTTATCCAAATGTTTGTACCTGGCGTCTCATTTCTTGGCCACCTCGGGGGAATACTTGCTGGGATTCTCTATCTCAAGTTGAAGAGAGCTTACTCAGGACCAGACCCACTCACTCTAACCATCAGAACCCTTACCAATGTAATAAGCTGGCCTCTGAGGTTTGTGAGGAATTTATTTCAATTCCGGCGAGGACGGATTTCTGGTCGTGGAAGTGTTGGTGGGAGGCAGACGGGAAGGACAATGTCAGGGCTGTGGAGATGCCAAGCATGTACATATGATAATTCCAGTATGTTAAGTGTATGTGAGATGTGCGGGACAAGTCGGGGAGCTCGTGGATTGTCCTCCCGTGAATTTTCACGCCATTCCGATGACCTTACATTGGAAGAAATACGTCTTCGAAGGATCGAAAGATTTGGTTGATCAGATTCTTAACTCATTTTATACGCCACCATTTGTTTTTTGATTCTGTAGCCAAGTTAGATGTGGATTAAGACCAGTTCTCAAGTTTGGCAGACCTCTCCGCCCATTTTTATACTCGAGGTCCCTATACTTTGAGATGTAGCTGGTCGGTGTTTGCTTTCGTAAAAGAAGTAGAAGATAGATTTTCCACTCAATCTCTTGGTTGTGGATGCAAAGCAGAAATGAGCAATGGGATAGCCCTCGAGTGTTTGATGTTGTTTTCAAACATTAGATGATTGCTTTGTGAAAGGAGTGGAAGTCATCGATTAATGTTTAGCGACTTGCGCGGGAAGGCTTTCTGGTTGTTTTTTTATTTATTTATTTATTAAAAAAAAAACCCCATGCCTTAGTGTTTCGCTGTACACAGATAGTTACATTGAAATTACTATTGGTGAAATTATTATTTTGTCGTATCAAAAAAAAACCCCATTACACTAACTACTGGTGTAAAATAGTATTTTTATATTATTTATTAGTTATTATTCAAATAATCTAGGGCATATAGATCTTTTCATTACAAACAAATTATTAAATCATCCGTTAGCACATTAAAATTACTAAAATATCTTTAAATATCAATTTTTTTAAATTGGTTACATGGTTCCTCTTTTTCTCATTTTTTTTTATTATTTTATTATTATTACTAACAAGTTAGGTGTTTTGGTAATTTTATAGATATAAGTATTATTATAAAGATTGTTGAAAGGAAAGTAAGTGTTTCATGTGTTTGTTGGGCTAGCATTAAAACATCCTTAATGGCTTTTATATTATTAGGTGGCGTGTGTGCCATGGTTTGAGCATTTTAAGTATTGATAATCTCCTGCTTTTCAATGAATGCATGCAATAT